AGAGAGAGAGAGAGAGAGAGAGAGAGAGAGAGAGAGAGAGAGAAAGACAACGAGCCGAAACAATTTGCAATTTTGTAACATACAGGAAGTAACAATTATAATATGCGAATGTCGAGATAAAATGCTGAGCATCTCCATGATTTTGAGCAGGGAATTTGTTTCACACAATAAAAGAAATGATACAAAATGAAACAAAGTAAATAGCATTTCCATTTCATGAGAATAATTAGTATTTCGTTTGCCATTGTCAAACTCCGGTGAATTGACAGTCAAAAATCATGGAACGCAAAAATAATCCGATTATATAACGAATAAAATTTCATATGTATATTTGTGTGTGTGAAACGGTGCAAATGGTTTACATTTACTTTGAATTTAAAATGGTCGTATCTTAGCTTGGGTATCTGTTGAATTGCCATTTTAAAAGCGATTTTATTTTAGACGAATTTAGCAGTCCGGAACTTTGTTTCGACTGTATGCTAAATTTATTTTTCCACTCATTGTCAGCGTTCTCATTCGTTTGTGCAATATAAAAATAGCATTGTTTCAAGGTATTTTATAATTCGTTCAAATGATACACATGTAATAAATTTGGCCTTGCACGATTTTCTCTATTCTTTACTCTCACTCCCTCTCTCTCTCTCTCTCTCTCTCTCTCTCTCTCTCTCACCAATCCCATTCGGTTGTTGTGTCTTTGCGACTCTGATTTCAATGGGCATAATTTATAGTTAACAATAATAAAATTCTGTGCATGCATTTTCATTGAATTGTTTAGAAGGTTCACTTCTGTCTCTTCTGGTTCACTAAGAATTTTTGTGTTCAGCCTTGACTTGGTGCAGTGCATACAGCCATTTATTTTGACGGCGCGTAACAAATGGTTTGTAATTATTTGTCACCCGATTATAATGAGAGAGTTTCCTTCTTTATTCAATAAGATCTACCAACCGGAATGGCAATAAACGTACATTATTAACATTCTTCTGCATTCTACCTTTGGCAAATGAATCGCAACAATTGTTTGCCATACAAATAATGTACATGGCGAACAAATTGCATGAAATATGTTTGCCTTTTGTGAATTCATGTCTGGGTTTGCTTTTGTTTTGGCCACACATTTTTTTTTTGGTTATTCGTCTGTCTCGAGCAACAAAAAGAAGCAAAACTTACCCAATGAGTGGACTAGCGCCGGCACGATCTTGACTCTTCGACCAGGTGAGAGTAACACTGTTCTCTGTAACATTCACAACGCGTGGAGTTCCCGGGATCGACGGAAACGTACTCGGATCTGGTGTACGATGTAGGTTCACACTACCACTTTTTTCCACCTGCAAAAATACAAAACAAAAATATTTTCGATTATTTCATGATACAAACAAAGACACACAACATGGAATATAAATCAAAACAAGCGGAACAACTGCACACATACAATAGGAATAATACACGGTTTTTTTCGGAATAAATTAAATCCGCTCGAATTCATCGAAATTGTCAAATGTATATAGCGAAGCAATTTATTGGATCCAAACACACCAGTTTTCCAATTGTGTTCGATAAGATGTGAAAGAATAACACGATTTAAACATTTTTTTTTTTGCACTGAACATTTCAAACTCAATCGACTGCAATGTATATGTAGCAAACAATAAAAGAGAACAATTGACACGGAAATGGACCAAATGTATTTATTTGTTTGGCAATAAATTTGTGCTTTCTACCTCTAAAATGATTTACTAGCCGAATATTTTTCGCTTGGATTTTCATGTGGAACCCAGTTTTTAATGCACAAATGTTTTTGTTGCTTTTTCCCCCATTTCAGTTACTGCATTCAGTTAAATCAGATTTTCCTGAATTCGATTTAGTTTTTTTTTCTATATCTTTTTTTGCGTCAAATCGTTCTCCTCCATACACACAAAATCAACAAATTTTAATCAAGAAAGCCATTTGATGGTGCATGTTATTTTTTGTTTTTAGACGGATAAAATTTCCATATTTGAATTTTCCCATTTCTCTCTTGTAACATTTTCATCAATATAATTATAATTTTTAATGAAATACCCAGTATTACATTTGGGGCTATCATCTATAGGAAATTTGCGCAATTTATAATCCATTGAACAACGAAATGATTCGATGAGTTTGTTGTTGAAAACAAGTTGATATGGATCGTTTTGTTTTTGTTTTCATTCGGTTTCGCCCCGGTACTAAAATTTCGATAAACATTTTCCGTTCCTGTACTATAATTTTCACACAAAATGCGCACTCTTTCATGCGCTTATTGGTGGGATGATTTCGCTCAATGCCCATATGCTCAGATTATTTTTTAATGCGACGACCATTAAAAAGTGTATTAAATACCTTTAAATCGTAATTATCGATTATATTGAATAGTAATGATACCAGCCGTGGACAAAAAAAAAAGCTTCATTACAAAATTAAAATACTAAACAAGCAACGCAATTAAGGGTTAAAATATATATATAATATATCAGCCTCGCAAGGAACATGCACAATCCTGTTATGTGTGTGTTTTGTGCATGTTTGTATTTGTATCCGTATTTGTTTAACATGTGCACCAAAAAATTGTATACATTGAATGGGCTTTAAGCACAAGCACGCTATTGGTAAATTGAAAAAGCATGCAAACAACGAATCCAAGCGCAAAATTTTATCATTATTCGTTTTGTATTCAATTTAATTAATTTAAAATACACTCGAGTAACATATTTTTCGATTTGATCGCGTCTCTGTCTCCCATCACCCCATTCCATCTCTTTCACAAGCTTATCGAATATGCGTAGAATCGATTTGTCCATGGATGAGTGTTTTGTGCGTTTTACAACATTGTAAAGTGTGCGTGTGTTTTTATGCTTGTTTATCAATAGTTTGATTTCATCGCTGGACGAACATTGATTTCGATCGTTGAATTGTGGCATTTTCAAAGCAATTTGTAACCCCCATCACATATTCTCTCTCTTTCACACTCTTTCGTTCATTTAATCATTGTACTTTTTTGTGGTCGCATTTGTTTTGCTATCAAATAGATTTGGTGGTACTTTTTATGATATTTTATATATAGAATTGTTACACACGCATTGCCTAGTTCGTTGGCGTTCCAACTGATGCTGAAATGTTCAAAATTGTGTTAACTTTCGTGCAAGTTTATTTTTGGCAATAAATATTATGGTGTCTGCGTTTAAACAGCAATCAATTGTAAAAATTGTATTTTCCACAGCTGATTAATTTATACATGATGTACATAATGCTTTTTTATGGTCGACTCTCCGTACTGAATTTCCATACATTTTCAATTATTTTGTATTGAATAAATGGATAGAAAAAAACGCAACGACAATTTTTTGAAGTTTTAATTGAAAAATTAATTGAATTGGCGGTGGTGGTGGCGGTGTTGTCTCGTATTAAATGCTGTTTCTTTTGCCATTCACCATTTATCATATCGTGTATTTTTTTATGCAGTCTCCTTCGTTTATATTTATTTTCAGATGTTTTCATTATGTTTTCAGCATTAGCTGTCTGCTGCAACAGACGAAAATATGTTGATTAAAATTGACAAACAATAATTAGAGATTGAAAATTTGTTTCGGTTGCTGAAAATGTCAACCAGACCGAACAATAATCCGATTAAAACCAGCTCTAATTAAGCGATTGCATTCACACCTATATTTCGGTCTCTCTTAGGCTGAACTAGCGCTGTTTTTTGTTCGTACGTTTCTCTTTTTTTATTGCGTGCATATCAATAACGATAGCACGATTCAATCAAATGGTTAGTTTGGCGCAATACAATGGCCAAAATATGTTTATTGTTGCCTTTTCGAACAGTAAACAGCTTAATTACGACCGAAAAATAAACAAAACGATTGTCAAATGCCCTTTTTATGCAAATCATCTGCAAATGTTTAACACAAATATGCGCTTTGATTTTTTCCGTGCTCTTCTTCCCTCATTGTGTGCGTTGGAATCATTTCCAACCAAACGAACACAATTATTAAACACAATCAAGTTATTCACGGCACGAACGTATTCCGAATGTGATTGTTCTTATAATCGTGAACGCGATGCCGTTTATAATCGACTTGGTTGAAACTTTTTTTTTTTGTAGCTGAAGAAAGTTCTCATGCCACGATTAAATTAAAAATTCATTGCGAATAAAATTCGGTAGCATATTTGCCATCTTCGCAGTCACAAAGCTATTGCTAGAGTAACTAAGAGGGCAAAAATGGAATTTATTTTCATTTCGGTTGCAAGTTGGCAGTTGATAAACGCACATGCTGTGAAACAAAATGGAATATAATCGAATCAATTTCTCGTTGTGAACACATAGTTATGTGCACTTCAGTTATTTGAGCAAATTCAAAAATCGTCCAAACGTCGACAACAAGCACGCCAGAAATAGAAACCGAAGAGACAGACTGGAGAATGAGAGGGCGAGAGATAAAAAAAAATCGCTGACGATGCGAAAATGCTTTATGAACAAGACACAAAATATAAATTTAATAAAAAAGAATGAACATGAACTGCATATTAAATGCGTTGATTTGATGTTGGGTATATCGTTTTTGGTTGTTTTCGGTATATACGCATTTTAGCGTTCTCTTTGCTGCGAGAAAAAAAGGAGAGAAGTGAAATCTGTACACCGTGTGACCTGCGAACATTTGAATTCTAATATGCGTCGGTTAGCGTCATTCAATCCATATAGAACGATGTGAATGCCGCAAAAAATGAACAGGTAAAACGAATATTTATGCTGATATTTTTATGTGTACGTACAAAGAGGCCCGAATCACACAAATGCGCGAACAATATTGGTGATTGTGACGGAATGAGCTCCATAAATTGTATTGATTGCAAGTACTTCTTTTTTGAGTCTCATTATATCTTTTGTATTTTATACGCATGTTTCAAATTTGGTCACACCACACATAACATTAAAAAAAAAAATGAAAAATTAAATATTGATTGCGTTCACGTGTATTTTTTTCCCCACTGCTTGTACGGTATCGAAAAATTCGCTCATTTCTTGTCATTTTCGTTATGGTTCTTTTTTCCCGTTGACTGCCGTTCATAAAAATTCCGTCTCGGAATGTAATTTGCATTAAATCAGTTAAAATGTGACACAAGCTCGCTAGCAGCAACCGCTCACCATATACTATCCACAGCCACGACACATCATCCGCACACAACATTGAAGGTTGCGTGAATATTTTTTAGTTTGTGTACGACGCACCATTTCATTTCGGTCTTATCAGGTTGTTTCGGTGAATTTGCAATTTCTTTGTGCCGTCGCGTTAGCTAGATTAATTCTCATCGGACACAAGAAATTGGATAAAACATACAAGCACATGAGATTTTTACATTTCGGTCCACTAACCTAACTGGATCCATGATGATAATTATAGCCGAGATGATGATAATACTGGCCGAAATTCAGACAGTGACAACGGAACAAGAGATAAAGCAAAAATTTATTACCGTCCCCCTCCCGAAAAAAAGAGAAAAAATACAATCATTCGGAATAAGATTCTATCGCGGCCTGTACACCTTTGTCACAATCTCCCGTAATAAAGCGTAAAAATAAAAAGATTCGAAGAGACACATGCCCCAGAACGTCTGATAAGACAAAGTAGTTTGGCGGCAACAGTAACAGGAGCAACAACAACCACCAATGAAGAAGAAATGAAATGAAATCCGCCGTACGAATGAGAGGAGAAAAAAAGGATCCACGTAAATGGCAAAATGTGATACAACGGAAGTCAATGCACCTACCCACTGTCGCCAAATGAATGTTGATGTAGTGGTGAAAAGGAAGAAGAAAAAAGACGAGAAAAAAAAAGCGGTGAATAAATTTAACAAGTAAATAGGTCCCAAGAGTATTGTGCCTTTGAAGATTCGATTTCGAAACGGTTGTGCATCGCATAAACTAAATTGCAGGCCGATAACGCGAAAGCAACCACCAACAAAATGAGAAATTCCAATAAGTTCTTATGTTGTTTTCTTGAGGCAAACCTGTTGTGACTCTTTACGATGCGATTATTCCAAAAGAGCGTACGACAACACACTCTGACTTTTCAAATTTTTGCCACTTTTCTTTCTCATTCACTGTGTCTAAAGCTTTTCCGCTGGCCAATCGGGAGTATTGGGTAGTCTACTGTTTCCCAATAAATTTCCCAGCTTCTATTTCCCGTATTTTTTTTACGATCATATTATTGAGTTTTCTCTTATCTCCTTTGCCGCATCATACTCGTAAAGAGAGCGAGCGAGAGAGGGAGAGAACTAAGTGATGTGTTTCGTAAAAACCAAATGCGATCCCGCAGATTGCAGGCACATCCAAATTTTAGTATTCGCTCACGGAAGTCAAATGAAATTACTTTATCCCATAGAACTCAAACATAAAAATGATGTCTAAAACCGAAAGTGTCCAGCAAAGACATTTCGTATCCCCTTTGCTTCGTTCTGCACCTTCTGCTCTGTGTAAGTTTTTGAACGAATAAAGATACACAGGTAAAAAACCATAAATATTAGAAAACACATAAATATGCTCGGCATGGAAGTGAAATGGAAAATATGGCTGTGGTTCTCATTCTCTCTTCGCATAAATGGTATATATATAATCGATAAAACCGACGAATTTCGAATGGAAAAGAAAGTTCGAATCAGAAACCAAGTTCAATAGAAGAAAAAGGGAGAGAAAGAGAAAACGACCGAAATCAGACGAGCACACACATCACAAACGAACGCAAATCCAGTCTTCGGTAATGCATAGAGCATATTCACTTTGGTTTTTGTTGTCATTTGATGAAAGTAACCGTGCATCGACCGCTCGATTGAGAGAGAACGCAAAAAAAAGTTGGCCAGGATCAAATTAAAATAAATTGAAAAAGTTTGTCACGATAATCATAATGCGAAAAGTAAAAAGTTTTTAGCTTTTTATGAAGAAAATACGACAACGACAACTTTCAATGGAACGCCAAGGTTCCGATAAATGGAATAGAGTGTTCGCAACGCTGATGCCATGAATGCTTTAGTTGTTGAATACAAAGAGCAAAAAAAACATGTGCGCGCCTTACACACTCACCGAAACCAATTTATGGATTGGACGCCCAAAAAAAACTTGTCGTTTTTAATGGAAGGACAGAAAGAGTCTAAAGCAAACCAACGAATAAAAGATGGAGAATAAAGTGCATAAAAGAAAACCTACCGTTAGTGAAGCTGACCAAGACGTTTCACCACTTTCGGAAGACGCTCTGAAAGATGTAATAATTGAAAAATTGAAATTAGTAAGAACAAACACTTTCCAATACAGAAATTTGTAATTATTTTGTTTTTTATAAACTTTCTTATGTTATGAATAAGAAGATAATTAAGATAACTTACGTGCAGGTATAATGGCCAGTGTCAGATGTTTGTAAATCTGAAAGTGAAAAAATTACAACAACATAAAATAAATAAGAATATAATCAAAAATGCAACAGAAGAAAAACACGAATAAAAAATCCGAAATTTACTGTCGATTTTTAGCGATCCACTCTGCACAATGATCTGACGTTGATTCGTTTGCAATGGAATGCCATCTTTGTACCATCGGATGCGCGGTATTGGATTACCAATAGCTCGACAAGGTAGCATTGCAACACTTGACGCTGGCAATGTTTGATTTGCTGGTCCAATTTGAATGATTGGCGGTGGAATATCGTCGACTGATGTCACTTGTAAAAATGCTCGAATCGTTGCCGAACCAGCAACACTCAGTGCCGAACACACAAAATATCCAGCATCCTCTTTTTGTACGCCACGTATGTGTAATGTGCCTTGACTATTAACGCTCATATGACCGTACGCATTGTCCGGGAACATTAACATTTGTGATCCTTCACGTGCCCAAAATACACTCGGCGGTGGATTTCCGACTGCTCTACAGTCCATCGATGCGATGCCATTTAATCCAATCTTTTGATCCTGTGGTTTTACACTAAAACTTGGTTGCGCTAAAATTGAATGAAAAATGGGAGACATCAAGATCATTGAATAATCATATACTGTAAGCAAGTAGCATTCAAACGAAAAGAAAAAAAAATTGAAAATAAGATTATCGTTTCATTGAAGCGGGCTGAAACATTTAGATTTGATTGAATTTTTCTTTCATGTATTCCGGAATTCAAAAATTGTGGAGCATTTAATGATAGATTTCATTCACTATTTACACACAAAACCAAACAAAAATGTGTAATAAAATAAAAACCGCATGCTGTATGCTATGGCATATTCTGTGTCGAAGTTTTCCATTCTCCTTTGATGTTTTTCCATCATTTTTAGTTTAGTTGCCCATTTTACTAGTTTTCAATTTTTCACTTTTGATCTTGAGACGTTGGCTCTCTCTCTATTCAATCAATTTAATAGATGATGGAAATTAAATGGAAAAATTCAACACAAAGTAAAGTTTTCATGACACAAACAACAAAAAAAGAAGAATGTTTCATAACATTTTCCATGCTCAAAGAAAAATATTCAATTTTAATGTTGAATGTTGAGAAAAGTTGCCTTTTCATCACATCAGTAATGGAATAGAAACTACTTCTTTTTGAAAATGCAAAGAAAAGTTTGATTTTTATCCTCCTTCAAATGGAGATATACCAAAAAAAATCAGTAAAGTTACACTTACAGTTAACTACAAGTTGTGCTTTTGCACTGATTTGTCCAACTCCATTGTGTGCATCGCAAATATAAATTCCCTCATCGGCCGGAATCACATTTTTGATTACCAAACTTTTGTCATCGTCTTTAATAACGGCTCTATTGCAAATAATATAATCACAACGTTACATTTTTTTTTGAATTGATGGAAAATTAAAATTGCATTTGAAAAATGCAAATACACTTACCTTCCAACCGGCATGCTTCCGTCATCTTTTCGCCATAATATTTGCGGCTGTGGATCACCACCAACCGAACAATAAAATTGTACCGTTTGTCCAGCCAATACCGTTAGGTCGGATGGTTCTTTATTGAAAAATGGTTTAACTGCAATAAAAGTTAAGAAAGAAAATCATTTAGTTTAAAATTGAACGGAGAGTAACAATCAAGATCGATAAGTGACTAGTTTATACTTAAATTTCAATCATTCAACACATAAAAAGAACAATTCAAAATCAATTCAAAGGATATGTTTTGTAAAAGTCAGTTGTTATCTTTGGCTATGCAAAATGTTCGTACATCCTTTAAGATGTTTGAGTGTTTGTTTGTCAACACACTGTGATAGACAATTCAATCGTTCAACCGTTTTTTTTTCGCTCCCATTTTCTGCATCTCATGTTCTCCGACGCTCTATGCATATAATTGCATCATATGTTGAATGTCAGCAAGTCATAATTCATTTGATGTAGCTTGCTTTTGGGCGCACAGGCAGTTTTTGTGTTTGTGTATGTGCAAGTCTGGGCAAGTGCTTGTAGATTTGATACGTGCATGTGCTTGACATTGTGCAACTTGTGTGCATTCCGTCTATTTCTCTCTCACTCACTCTCATAAAATTTTAATTTGTAAGTGATATCTCTACGGTGGCTTTGTGAATTTGTCTTTCGCTCATGAATATGACACTCACATTCCAATTTAAAATAGTCCAAAGAATCAAACATTTAAACACTTTTTCAGTTGGATTTTCTCTGTGCATGCATATCGTATAAGATTGAATGATTCAAAAAGCACCCAGCTAAAATCCATGATTATCAATACGTGACAGCGACAAATGCAACACCGAATGTAAAATTTGCACAAAACACACATAAATTAATGTGTTACGTTATGCAAAAAGTAAATTCCAAGTGCAAGGTATTCGTATGCCTTTGATTTTCTAGAAATGTGTAGCAGACAGCTTTTGAATCTATTTGAAAATGAATGCAACTGATGTCTTGGTGTCTCTCGTAATGGTATGTAATTATCAGAGACTAACACACACAGTTTGTGAACTGTTCTCATTTCGCCTGAAAAGTTTGTTCAATTTTATTGTTTTTTTTTCTTCTTCTTTTTAATGTGTGCCAGCATGTGGTCCAATTGAGCAAAATTAGATAAATCCTTTTCATTAAAAAAATGAATGAAAAATGATTTTTGCATGTGTATGTTTAATTTCATTTTAATAGCCACAATTTATTTTCACAATAAAAAAATTCGTATTCATAATGGAAATGAAAATTGTTGTTGAAATGAAATGAAGTTTCAAGCAAAGTGAATTTTCTTTCACCATAGACGATGTAAACGAAGATGAAAACTTTATCGAAAAACACATATGATATTTGACGTTGGTTTGGAAAGATGCTATCACTTGTTTTTATTTTCTGTCTGCCGTTACATTACCGTCTAAGACATTTGGAATTTATCATTTTTATCAAACACACACACACACACCACACTTGGTGCGGTTGGCATCTTTCCTTCCAACCGAGTTTACATCTAAAATCGCTGCTGTCTGTCTACCATGTAAAAAGAAACAAAGCTGAAAAGTGTTCTCAACATGGTTTAAGAGCCACACCGACAGTGAATGGGTGTGAGAAAAAAATATATGCATGGCTAATGTATGCGAAACACTTGAAAAGCGAAAATAATTATTTCATATTCCAGAGATATTTTTGTGGTTATTTGTATTCACGCCAGTTTAAATGTTTATCTCATAGAAGACTTAATGAATTTCATTTAATGTGTGTGTGTAGCGCCACTGCATGTCGAACATTTTGGTTGAATTCATTTCGGATGCATTTTGTGAGATAATAATTTTTTCTCTTTTTCCAAGTTCAAAATGTCTCGTTGCTTTAAAGAGCAGCAATTTGAACTCTCCCAACAATAACGACGACGACAAAAGAAAATTACAAATGGAATATATATATATATATGTATCTATGTGTATCTGTTTAAAATGTTGACAACACAAAACGATGAACGCGTGTGCGCGCGAACGCCCGTACAAAAAAACACAGAAACGAAGTGAAAACCCGTACCAAAACCAACGCATTCATAACTACAAATCAACAACAATATGATATACAAAACGATTTGGCGATACAACGAGTGAATTATGAATATATTTTCATATTTAAGCCAGTGCACAAGAAAACCACGCAAATTGAGAAAATGCAAAGAAGAATACACAATAAAAACGACAGATAGCATGCGGCATACAAAGAGGACGAGAGAGAGAGAAAAATGCGACAAATGAATATGTTTCGTTGGCGTTGCCAAATGACATGTAGATAAGAGAAGCACAAGAAAGAAAAAAATATGGAACGAGTTATTTACACACGTTTTTCCTATCTGTTTGATGCTGGTGCTGCTGTTGCAACAGAAAATGCTTTGTGCAAAATTTGTGGAATAGAAATAAATTGACAAGCAAAGTATGGTTGGTGCACAATAGCAGAGCGCATATCGCATAGATAGATTGGAGAAACGCCAGACTAATTAATATTTGTCCTTCTTTCTAGTCATTCCAGCAAGATATCGAAGAAAAGTTACCGTCGCCGCCACCATCACCGCATACACATACGACATTCACAAATATCTCCAAATGAATTCGTCCTCGAGCCAAAATATCGATATTGTAATGCATGCATGCATCAACCGACGAATTGTGCGCATTGAAACGCCATTCAATCGGAAAAACATTATGTTAATGATTTGTTCTCGATGTATTTGTGGATCGCTTTGTGCGCTGAAAGAAATGTTGAGATTTCAATGCATACCAGACCAAGGCACTCTATCCCATAGCAACACTAGCGAAATTCATATAATTCACTGATGTTTACATGATGATGCATAGCGAGCGCGAGTGCGCGGCAAGATGACAGAGATAGAATAAGACGAAATACCAAAATAACGAACATTTAAATGTGTGTTTAGAAAGAAAAAAACGGGAATATAAGTGCATTTACATATTTATTGCGCAATTTAGCTAAGAAATGAAACAGCACACACACACACTGACGTATGGAAGAAGGGACAAACATATTTACACATATTCTCATTGTAAGAATTGTATGAGAAGCACTATAATATTGTTGGTATCACGATGTTTAATGTTTTTAAAACAGCCGGTTACCTTTGTACGTTCAAGACAATGCAAAAAGCAAATAAGATGGAAAACGTATTTTCACTTAATACGGCTACTACTGTACAATTCACAAAGCATTGTGCGACAAAAGCAGAGAAACAGAAAAATCGCACAACTTTTATCATCATAATGATTTTTAATATTATAATAATCGCTTTGCAGTTCAATTAATTTTTTTGTTTCCTTCTCATTCTTCGTTCGATAGCATTTTGTTTACTTAATTCAATGATGCTGTTATGACTTCGTATCGTACAGTCAATTTCGTGATTTGCCATGTCGACGACGACGGTTTACAATTCTTGTTGGGTGAGCGCGAGCGGTTTATTTAACAATTTAACAATTTTTCCCATAAATTGAGTGAGCGCTTGCGGTTTGGTTTTAGTTTAGTTTCGATGAGAAAGTTGTAGCTGCGACTTTGATGCATTTTATATTGGGAAAATTGAAATTTAATGAAAACAGAATGTATCTTGTGGCGATATTTTGTTTTTTTTTTTCGTCGTCATTTATTTGGTCTCGCTTCTCATTCTTGATAATTTGGTATCGGCCAGTGACTGTGAGCCACGCGCATAACTGAAAATACCAAATTGATTTCGACAAAGTGCCGGATAGTCGCTGTTTGAGGCTGAGGTGAGTATGTAAGTTAGTTAACAAACCAAAACAACGGAGCCAAATTAATTTTCAATCAAAATGCAAACAATAAGATGATAGTCATCACGACAAAGTGGATGATATAATGATGCTTACGCAACATTGATTCAGCTTATCAAATTGATAAATGATAATTGCAAATAAATTCATCAAAAGAGTAAATGCGGTCACATCGCGACTATAGAATATAAGCATGCTCAATATATAATATCTGCCGCATTCAATTTTAATTGATTGATTAAATCACAATTTTCGGAATGCGCCCGTCATCCCAACTCGCTTGCATCGCAAAATTGCAATCTCTGCATTATTTACGGCAGTGTCGATCGATTTATATATGCAACATGGATTTTGTCAACAATGCGGTTGCCAGAATGTTAATTCACTGCATCTAATTTCGACCACAAACTGAAAATTACTAATTTATTCATTGAATCGAACGGCAAACAATTTATTATATCAAGATCATAAGGTCTGTTGTTGTCCCCTCTCCCAAATCGATTGATGCACACTCTCATCACACTCTTTTATGCTTTGCTTTCGATAAGGGCTACAATACAGTGTCGAATGAGTAATAAATTAAAATTTAATGGCACTTAACCGATTAAAAAAAAAGTATACTCTAAACATTTTCAACGAACAGCGTAGGAGAATAGAGGAGAAAATCCAAGTTTTGCAAACATTTTCAACACTTTGGTTTTAAATGACAACCACATTGATTGATTGATGCCTATTACATTCGCATTTGATACTTTCGTAGCTGCGCTACAGTAGTTCGATTTCATTGTTGAATCTGGCCGTGTTTGTATATGTGTGCGTCGTTTTATCCCCTTTGATTTGTCGGCAATACTTATTTTTTTTGGCATCGCTTTCTTCTGTATTTTTTTTTCTTTCATATTTTCGATCTGGGGTTTATACTCGCTTCTGTCGCTTGTGTCAACCAACAATGGATAATTTTTTGTTTATTGAAGTCACGTTTTTTTTACTAAAAGTATTTTGTAGTAAATGGTTGAAAATGGTAAAAGCGACAACGGCAACAGTAGCAGTAACGGCAGCGGTTGTATGCCATTATTTAAACTTTAAATGTGGAAATGAGGTGACACTTTTTGCAACACAATTGATAAATAGACACACATTCAAACAGTGTGTAGAGATGGAATCAAGCATAACAAATAGACGTACGCTGCAATCTACATCTCAATGCGAGAGAACCTTTTCAATTTTGATTTTTTTGTAGTTGCCATTGCTTTCTTTTTTTTATACGATGGTTTGGTGCGTACGA